GCTTTGTATGCAGTACCTGTAATGTCTGTCTCCCTCTGTATGTACGTGTATCTTAGGAGACACGATACCGGTCGCACCCCTTGTACCTATATATATGTGCCTAGTGCACGATCAATGATATATCGACACACCAAATCAGTCTCTACAGGAAACAACAATGGATGCTAGTGGAGGTCGAGGGGGGCTTGGTTGTGCTACGAGCTCGTGGTGGGGTGGGCAACGGAGGTCGACGTGGTGGAGCGAGCAGCGTCGACGACCGAGTATTTGACAAAAACTACCACATTAGGGGTTACCGTCCCACAGAACTACCACTTTCAAAAAAGTAACTAATAACTACAATTTTTTTCTATTTTTGTGACTAAAAACTACCACTTTTGAAAAATGTCCAATTTAGACGATTTAAACACGTTTATGACATGCGGGGTCCACCCGTCAGAGTTGATGTGGCGGCAAAGTCAACTCCATTTATTTTGACTGTTACGTTGACTGTTATTACAAGTGGGGCCCACCTGTTAGCATCAATCTTCCTCCTTCTCCTCCTCCTCCTCCTCTCTCTCTTTGGCATTTCCTTGAACACCTGCTATGCACCCGGGCTTGAGCTCCGAACTCCTCCATGACGACGCCCCAGTGCAACACCTCCCTATCGTTGGTTGGGGACTGGAACGGCGGCTGGAACTATGGAAGCGACCGCCGAAGCTGACGAAATTTCCTCCGAGGCTGTCGGCGCCACCACCCGACGCAGCTCCTCGACGACGGCCTCCTTGAGGATCTTCTGCTCGAGCAACTCAGTGCGCAGCCGAGACTCACGCTCCTGCAGCTCCTCGACGAGGCGCGCAAGCTTGGCAGCGTCCGGTGCCGTGGCCGCGCGCGCCGGCTGCACCTGCACGGAGTACGGGAGGTGGGCGACAAGGAGCCCCAGGAGCTCATGTGGGAGCTCAGACCAAGGAAAAGCCTCCTCCAGCTCCTCGACGAGGCGCACGAGTTCGACGGCGTCCGGCATCGTGGTCGTGCGGGCCGGCTGCACCTGCATGGAGGAGCGGGAGGCGGACGACGAAGAGCCCCATGAGCTCATGTGGGAGCTCGAACCAAGGCGAGTACTAGCTAGGTTGGGTTCGTGCATGTTGGTGGCGGTTGTCGCCGACAGAGGTGACCTCGCCAGAGTGACGCGAGGGGGATAGGAGGTCGCCGGAGTGGTTGGGCAGCTCGGGCTCTCCCGATCCAGACAGGATCGAGGCATGGGGAGAGGTGAGCGTCGACAGTGGAAGACGGCGGAGGCAGCTCGCGGGTGCACACAAGGTGTTTGAGGAAATGGCAAAGAGAGAAAGGAGGAGGAGGAAGAAGAAGAGTGATGCTGACAGGTGGGCCCCACTTGTAATAATGGTCAAAATAAACGGAATTGACTTTGCCGCCACGTCAGTCCTGATGGGTGGGTCCTACATGTCATAAACATGTTTAAATCATCTAAACTGATCATTTTTCAAAAGTGGTAGATTTTAGACACAAAATTATAATTTTTTTATAGTTATCAGTCACTTTTTTTGAAAGTGATAGTTGTCTGGGACGGTAACCCCTAATGTGCTACTTTTTTGTCAAATACTCTCGACGACCAGAGGAGCATTTTGGGGTGAGAAAGGGGATGAGGAGGAGGATGACAAAGATTGAAATCAAACGGTCGCGCAACCCCCAATCTGACGGTATAGGAGCGACCGACCGAATCTGGCACCTAGGGTCATCATTTTAGTACTCTTCCATCTTAGAGGCTGTTTGGCTTGAGACTAAGTTTACCTAAGGTTGCCAGACCTAAGATTAGGTAAGTTTGACTAATTTGGGTGACTGTTTGGTTCAAGCCACATCTTAGGCAAGCCACACTAGGGTCCCACATCACATACACTTAAAAAGTGTGGCAAGATTCCCTTAGCCTTAGGCTTGCCAACTTGTAGCTTTTATTTTGAAAAACTAAACTTAGGCAAGTATGACAATATTATATGGCAAAGTGTGGCATAATTAGGCCTAGAACCAAACAACCCCTTAGTCTGAAGTCTATCAATAATCTTATTCAAGACAACACAAGTTAGGATACGACCCTAAAATCATTTGTTTCAGTTATTGATCTTTTATGAGAAAGGTGTAACAAAGGGGCGGTTGAATCTTGCATTGCCATACTTTGTCACACATTTTTATCAAGCTTGTCTAAGGTTAGTTTAACAAAATAAGAGTCACAAGCTATCAGGACTAAGGTAATCTTTACCACACTTTTTATTTGTATGTGATGTGAAGGCTTAATACGGTAAAAAAACATCTTGCCTAATGTGCGCCAACACCATTCTAAGTTGATCGAATTTTCCTAACCTTAGGTATGGCAATCCAAGGCAATCTTATTCGTAAACCAAACAGCCTCAAAAATCTGTCTGTGATGCAAAATCTTTAACCCTAAATGTCACCAGGGGAAAACCCCAGTTTCTTACCAGGGACTGTTGAGTAGTGCTGACTTGGCGGAGTCAAGAGGCACTCGACAGTGTGCGACGGACGGAGACACTCCCGCCGAACGGGTGTGGTGTGGATAAAGAGATAGAACTATAGAAGCGGCAGCTGCAGCGGCAGAGCCATCTCCCCCATCTCCGTCCGCCCCCAGCGCAGCGCAGTCGCCTTAGAGCCGCCACAATGCCGGTCTCCTCCGTGGCCTCGCCCCTCCTGCTCTCGCTCTCCGCCTCTTCCTCCTCCTTCCTCTCCTCCTCCTCGGTCTCCTTCCTCCCCTCCCCCTCCCCCTCCCCCTCCCCCTTCCCGCACGCCTCCGTCAGGGGGAGGCCGTCCGCCTCCATCCTCCGCGCGCTGCGGGCCGAGGCCACCACCCTCCCGGTCATCAACTTCACCGGCGAGAAGGTCGGGGAGGTCGCCCTGGACATCAAGGCCGCGCCGCCCTCCACCGCGCGCTCCGTCGTGCATCGCGCCCTCATCACCGACCGCCAGAACGCGCGCCGGGGCACGGCCTCCACCCTCACCCGCGGGGAGGTCCGGGGCGGCGGGCGGAAGCCCTACGGCCAGAAGAAGACCGGGAAGGCGCGGCGCGGGTCGGTCCGCACGCCGCTCCGCCCCGGCGGTGGAGTCATCTTCGGCCCCAAGCCCCGGGACTGGACCATCAAGATCAACCGCAAGGAGAAGCGCCTCGCCATCTCCACCGCGCTCGCCAGCGCCGCCGTGGCCAACGACTCCTTCGTCGTGCAGGAGTTCGACGAGGAGTTCGCGACGGGGCCCCGCACCAGGGACTTCGTGGCCGCGCTGCAGCGCTGGGGGCTCGACCCCAGGGAGAAGGCCATGTTCTTCTCCACGGAGCTTGATGATAATGTGCGGCTGAGCGGCAGGAACATCGGCACCCTCAAAATGCTAACTCCCAGGACGCTCAACCTATACGACATCCTCGACGCCCGCAAGCATTTCTTCACCCCGGCCGCTATTGACTACCTCAACTCGAGGTACGGTACCACCGGTTTTGATGAATATGAGGGCGATGATGGCGACGACGACGGTGAAGAGGAAGGGGTGGAGGAGCAAGAGGAGGGAGAAGAAATCACAGAGGAGGCTGCCCAAGGTACATACAGCTGTCCATGAACATTTTGCACTGCTGATTGCAACTTGCTGTTTGATTATTTCTATGCTAGATATGTGGGAAGAACTAGTAATTCCAAGCTGAAATCCTTTAGGTACATGTTTAAACAGCCAGTGAGGTGAACACGTAGGAATGATTAGGTTGTTAGGACACCGATGTTACAAAACCTTAACATTACCATGGTTGAGGCTTTGACATTATCTGATTGAAGTAAACAGTTAGTGCAGCATATTGCATAAAGGGTTATGAACATAAGATGAATGAAATTTGACAGTTTATATAGTTGATCCGCTGCAATGCCAAGATAGATTGTCCCCTCCAGTTAATCAATAGCTTGCCGCGACACTTACTGATACCATTAAAGGGAAAATAAAATCCTACATGTTTCCAATCAAGGCACCTTTGGTGTTAAAAGTCCTAGCTTAAGTAGGGCCACACCAATCACGACACCAAGACAAAGAAATGTTAACACCATTTTATTTTTTAAGGCTGGATAAAGGCTCCATGGGATTAGGATTATCTGTTTTTGACAGTTGTAGGATTCTTCACACCATTTAAGAAAGTCTATCATGCTTGAGTCTCTTATTAATCTGTACTCCGCACTGTATTTCCCCTTTGCTTTTACTATGACAAGTGTAGAGGAGCTTTTCTTTTTAAAAAATCTCATGGACTAAGGATATACTCCCTCCGTTTCTAAATATAAGTCTTTTTTAGAGATTTCAATACGGACTACATACGGATGTATATTGACATATTTTAGAGTGTGGATTCACTCATTTTGCTCCGTATGTAGTCCATGTTGGAATCTCTAAAAAGACTTATATTTAGGAACGGAGGGAGTAATTGAAGATTTACTGTAGAAGCATGCTTACAGATCCACCTATGCTGATGATAGGTTTATCTAGCGCTTGTATGAATTGTGTACAACAATATGCTAATTCTGTACTTCTGTAACCGGGGTAACTTAATCTCTTTGATTAGGGGGGCAAGTCAACAATTTATGAATATAAAATGACCTTACATGATGGAATTCAATCTTTTATACCAAAGATGGACTTAAATTTCAAACATTGAACCAACAAAAAAAAGGAGTGAACCCATGCTATCCATGAAATCCATAGAAGTAGAACTCCAGGAATCCTGATGCATTCCTTGTAGTCGCACAATCTGGTGTGCCACCTGCTTACCACTAATCAGCCGTTCACCTGAAACTTTCATCATTGGTGCTCTCACCATTTAATTCAAAGTTGTTCTGTTAGAACTTGAAAGTACGCTTGATGTCTCAGTTGAAGCCTTGCTTGAGAAGAAGAGAGTAGTCGGCAGGCAGTGGCAAGTGAATGCATGGTCTAAGTGTAACAGCATGATTATGTTTACTAGTCTCATTTTACCTTACAAGTGGTCGCTTGTAAGAAACTTCCTTAACTGTTATTCTCTCTAAATGAGAGGCAGCGCGTCTGCCACATTTTCTCGAAGAAGAAAACAACTACTTGGAATCACTTTAATGAAGGAGCCAGTAGTGAGTATGTTGAGTGTAGTAAAAACAAGTGCTAACCCTGTTTAGAACAAATGTTTCTCTCAAGCCCATTCCTCCGCACATACTAAGCAGTAGTTACAGTAGATAAGTAATTATTTATTATTTGGTACCGTGTTTTGTTAGTCTTTGATGCCTCTATTAGTACTTGTTATTATTTCAAGAACAATTTATGAAGTTCGTTTTGTGCAATTTTCAGATGAGACTGGAGAGGCTGAGGCAGACAGCATTTCCTAGGTAATTATTATGGTGTTTCTTGTTTGTTGGTTTGGGAATTGCCTCTCCAATGAAGAAGCCTTTTTGGTTTGCTTTTATTGTAATTTGATAATGTATGTTACACACTGATGCGATATATTAGATTTTCAGTTCTCCCATATACCTTTGAGATACACTCAAGTTTTTCAATCACCACATATTTTTTGCAACTCTGGTAGTGTTTCGCATCCTTGTTTGTAAGAACTGATGTCAATCAGCTGGCTACTCCCGCTTTTCACATACTTGAGGATTTACGAGATTCCAAATTTCTGACCTAAAATTGCTAGAATATACTCCCTCCGTCCCATAATGTAAGATGTTTTTGCAGTTCAGGAACTGCAAAAACGTCTTACATTATGGGGCAGAGGTAGTACTATGTTGTGACCATAATTTGCTTGGGGTCTGCTCCTATGTGAGCTGATGTATGAACTGCGGTTTCATTATGATAATGGAGCCGGGGAGAGCCTCCCTGTTAGTCTAAAAATAATAATTTGGCTGGAGTGTGCATGGCCCCGGTTTTAAAAGCCTCAGGCTGACTCACTGCATTTTGCACTATTAGAACAGAACCAGGCCAAGAGCATTCTGGGCTGGGCCTAGCTCGACTTGGACATGCAGTATGAAATTAGTATATCTAGTTGCTGGTCTTGAAACTCTAATCCCAGCCCAGGTCTTGAAACTCTAATCCCAGCCCAGCGATAAACATCAGATCATTTTGCTAGGATCTATTTTGGATCCACATAAGGACCCTAGTGGACCGTAGTCCGACTAATGGTGTGCTCTTGTTGGACACCAAGATTTATATTCATGCTTTGGGTTGTTGCCTTGTTGGACACATGGGGCTACGCAAGAAGAAAATTGCTAGGCCATCATTTTAAGCTTGGGTTGTTGCCTTGTTGGACACATGGGCTACGCAAGAAGAAAATTGCTAGCCATCATTTTAACCTCACAGAAGGGTTTTCTTCCCCTTTGACGTGTAATAACTTTTTGAAACCTTATCCTGACAATAGCACTGGCCAAAGCTGGGCCGTATACTTTTAAAAAGGTGGAAACTTTGGTCCTCAGTTAAAATTTCCCTTTTACTTGCAATTTGTTGGACTAGTTTTCCCTATTTACTCAGAAGTCCTTATTCTTTTCGGAAAAAAATACTTAAAAGTTCTTATCTGCTCGTGAGCTCAAATGAACCCAGAAGAACAGTAAAATATGAAAAAATAGCAAACAAATTAAAAAAATTCTGAATCTTTGTGGCAACAAACATGGTTGAGTGGCGAATGGGCCTGTAGCCTACTGGTTGCAGGGACCTTAGTAGCACCCTGGGTTCAACGGCAAAATTTTCTGGAATAAAAGAATGTAGGGCTGTTGCTCTACAGTAAATAGTCAAAAAATAAACATGGTGTTGAGTGTTCTCCCTATGTTCACATTTTCATGAACAAATGACATCTGTGGTGCACTGGGCAAAAAAAGGGACCTCCAAAATGTATTTAAAATGGCTTTTTAGAGCACCGTTTTTTTTCAAGCATCATCTATGTCATTTGTTCATGAAAATTTGCAGTAGTTAGAACACTCAATCATGTCTGTTGTAAAATAAAATTCAGAATTGTTTCGTTTCTTTTGCTATTTTTTTTTTGGATTTTACTGTTCACATCTGGGAGCCAAAACTTCATGTCCCTATTTACTCTACTTTTGACAATCCTAACAGATTATCTGTAAGATTATGACTAACACAATAACCCACTATGGTCATAGGCGGAAATGAGTAGTAGAATCTCACTTAGGTTGAGCCAGCATCCTTTTCATTGTTTTTTAAGGTTTTGCTGGATAGAAAGCATCCTTATTATAACAGTCCACCATGGTGTAAAGCACGCAATTATGTGAGTGGGACCTGACACGGCATTTCATTCATTTCTTGTGGCGGACTGGTCATACAGAAAGTTTGCGCAATTGATTGGTTCCGATTTGGATCTACTCCACCTACTTTCACTCTACATTATCCTTTTTCTAGCTCTTCTACTAATGGTTCTCCTGACCCAATCCCCATCCTTTTCTTCCAAAAGAATCGTTAATAGCTGCCACTGTCCTACATACAGTAGTAGTCACTGATCCTACCTTAGATATGAACTACTCCTTGGTAGATGCTCCCTCACTGGCTGTTGATGTGCAACTGCATTTCCTGTGTCCTCGAGAAAATATTTCCTTCCCAGTTTTTTTTCGAAACTTTCCTTCCCAGTTTCATCTTACAGTCCTTGGTAGGCAGTAACTGGAAGGAAGGTTCAACTGCTCACTTCTGCAATCCTTGTCGTCTAGAGTCATCACCAAAAGTATTTTGTACAATGGGTTGGCTGTTTCTTGAGCCGTATCAACACTAAATGAAAAAGGTGCCCTTAGCTCAATTATATAGCTTGATTCTTCCTAATCGTAATAGTCCCACTGTTGGTGGATAGTGCACCTGGAGTTAGCTGACGTCGCCTTGGGAGCTGAAATGCCGGAGCTAAGGGCCTGTTTGGTTTCAAATAAGTCACCAACTTATAAGTCGAAAAGTGAAAAAAGTGACTTATTTTGCCAAACAGACCTAACTTATAAGTCACCCTAACTTATAAGTCATAAGTTGCTTTCCCCCAACTTGGAGCTGAAATGCCGGAGCTAACATGATTAAAGAAACTTGGGGGTGGTCAGAGTGTCGAGCGCTTCCCAGCAAGTTGGTCCTATTTTACTTTGGTACTGGCGGGCTACAGTCATGATATCTTCCCGCATATCGCTCAAGTCCGCGCATACTGCTATCATACACTGCGTCCACGGTTTCTTTTCTCAAATTTTGCTTACCGAGTTGTTTGGCCAGAGCTTCAGCTCATGCTTGTGTGTCCTTCGATCTTAATATATTCTGCAAGTTTATGCCAGGCCTTTATATCCTCAGGCATCGTGGGGGTCGTTATTTATGCCCATTCATGATTACCAAGAGAATTATGCCCATGCACTAGATTGCCATAATTCTCTCGACTCGCACATGATTCTCGTCCCCACTTTTGCTTTAGAAAACCCGGATTATATTCAAATAAAAAAGGGCAACAAACCCCTAAGCTAAGCACACAAACACATCCTTCTCGCGTAGGTAGCATTTGCAGGACCAATCTATCAGTAGGTGGCTATCTAAACCATGCAAGCACTCTGGAGGTCGAGTCCCTTTATACGAAGTCGGAGCTCTGTCGCCTCTTTCTGCTGCGAAAGAAAATCTATCAGTAGTACTAGTAGGTTTTACGGGATCCCGTATCGGATTGCATTGCCGCCCGCCCCGCCCCGCTCCGTGTGTTGTGTTGTAGCGCCCTAGTACAGTAGGGTGCGAGCGTGACCGTGCCTGGCCGCGACCTCCATCCAGATTCCAGATCCAGTTGTGGCTGGGTTCTCGTCCCCCGCTTCGGGTCGGGGACGCGCGACCTTTCCGAGCCGCGGGCGAGCGGACAGACACGGGAAAAGCGGCCGCGCCGATCGCCTCCCTCGCCCGAGCGCTCACCCCGCACCCCATGTGGGCGGGGCGGGGCTTGGCGTCGCGCTAGCCATAGCCATAGCCGCGCTTTCGCCGAAAGCATCCGCCACCCCAACGGACCCGACGCCTGCCGCTTTCCACGCCCAACGGTCCAAAAGCGCGCACGTCTGCCTGCCTCGCAGGTGCCGTGGCGTGGCGTGCCGCGTGCCAACACCTGCCTCCACTCGCTGACTCTGCCCCTCAACTCCTCTCACTGCTCAGCCAGCCGTCGCGCGCGCGGGCGCTACCCCTGGCACGGCACGGCACGGCGGGCTGCCGTTCCGGTTGGGGCGATGGCCTCGAAAGCCTTGCCCGCCGCCTCCCGATTTAATAAGTACGGCGAGTTGTTGGTGGAACCCATCGGTAGTTGTAGCCGTATGCGACGAGGGCGCGAGTCATCATCCTGTCACATCAGATCTATGGACGGACCCAAGGATCCAGCCGTTACCCAGGGTGGGATTCGCTGAGGTAACCGAGACCCAGCGTCTCTACTCATGGAGTGGCGGCGATGGCTACGCAGAAAGAGTACATCACATGCCGCAACTTGTTCGTTGCGTGCCTCCGTATCCTTGTGTGGTAGTACTCTCTCCGTCCGGGTTTATTGGGCCCAAGAGCCAAAGCGCAAAGACCAAGAAAAAGCACTAAGAGGGTGTTTGTTTCCAGGGACTTTTTGGTGTAGGGACTAGAAAAAGTCCCTAGCAAACCAAACAGGGTGGGATTTTTTTGGGACTTTTTGCTAAAAGTTCTTAGAAGCACCTCCTTAAAAGTCTTTTTCAAAAAGTCTCAGGGACTAGAAAAAGTCCTAGGACTAGAGAAACAAACACCACCTAAATCTCCTAAATTGCCTCTGTAATCGCTCTATTAATTGTCCCTAATAACTAATCCAGCCCATGCGACCAACCTGTGGTTGAGATGGTTAGGTGGACAATGGTATCTCCAGCCCATCAGGGTTTAAATCCTGGTGATCGCATTATTCCTGGATTTATTTCAGGATTTCTGGCGATGCGCTTTCAGTGGGAGGAGACGTTTCCGTCGACGACGAGGTGCCTACGATGACTTCGTAAATCTCAAAATGATATGCCGGCTCAGTCTCTCGGCGGTGCTCATAGGGATAGGGTGTGCGTGTGTGCGTTCATAGGGATGAGTGTATATGCGTGTATATGAGCGCTTGCGTCTGTACTGATGCTAAAAAAAACTAATCCAGCGCATGCAGTGGCTACTGCATGGATGCAGCGTGCATGCATGTCCAATCAATGAGGACCATGCGCTGCCTTCCATCGGGTGATGCGGAGTCAATGGAATAAATGACGCGTAATTAATAAAGGGGGCCTAAAAATTTGGTACAACCTTTGATGGCTCAAGGGCCCAATAAACCCGGACGGAGGGAATAGTACATGAGTTGATTAGGGTGTCATTTGTTTGATCATCGACCAATACATGTTCTGCGCTTGCGTGCTTTCGATGTGTA